AACAAGGCTCAGGATGTGGAATATACTCCAGATTCATAAACCTAAACGGAAAATGGGCTATGAGCAGTAGTGCCAGTGTAGTTCAAACCGATCTCACAGGGTTTCTCATAGCAGCAAAAGAAATCTACTAACCTGTGGGGTTTTGACCCTAGGTCCTCTGCTTACAAGACAGGAGTTAATCAAGTAGAGGTATACACTAAATGTCAGATTGAATTTTTTTTTATATTTTTATATTTTATTTTCGAAGAAATCGATAAATATATTCCCTCATCAAAGAGTTCTTATTATATTACCTCCCGAATAAAGTAGTTTGCTATGGTTTCTATTTTTTTTATTTGTGAGACAAAAATTGTTTAATCCCTTGTAACTAAAATATTTTAGTCCCAAGGGAGTAAAAGTGGCACTTCAGTCCATAAAATGAGGGAGTAAAATACATGTTTTCGTCCCTGGGGTACAAAAAATAAATACAATGTGTTTAAAATACATTGTCGGGAATAAAAAAAGAATACTTTCAACGGAAATTTAACTTGGGTTGCGAAATCGTATCTGAGCCACAAAGGCTTAAGTCAAGTGAGTTATCTAAATCAAATATGTGTATTAACAAAAGAAAAACAATTTAAATATATTTTGTAGTTTTTTAAAATTATTTTAATAATTATTTAAAATAAATATCTGGGATCCAGGTATAAATCAATGTTAACAATTTAATAATCAAATCGATTTTACTATTAATATAAATCCTACCATCCTACTTCCTACCAATATATAAATGCGAAAGTTTGGATGTATAGAAGGAAGGATGTTTGCTGTTCAATCACGTCAGAACGGCTGAACGGATCTGGATGAAATTTAACAGGAAGATAGGTTATAGTCTGAAATAGCACATAGACTACTTTTTATCCCAGAAAAATATACGGTTCCCGAGGGATAGATTTGTTTTTGTTTTTCACAGAGCAAGGGATTAGACATGATTTTTTGCATAGTGGTAGTAAAACATCAAAATTTGAAATACAGCTACTGGGCATAAATAAATAATGACGTGTTTCATGGTTTTTGGATTTACAAATTTTAAGGGGAAAAATAGGGTTGACAGTTTAAATAAAAGTATTGATTTTTTAAAGGTCGCAACTTAAAAATTGGAATTATAGCTCCTCATTACAAATAAATAATGGCGTGTTTCAGGGTTTTTGAATTTTCATATTTTAAGGGAGGAAAGGGAAAAAAGGGAGGAGAGGAAGGAAAATTGGGAAAAGGGGGGAAATGGACAAAAGGGGGAAAGGGCGGAAGGGGAAAGGGGCGAAAGTGTGTATGGTGTATCTATTTTTTTAAAGGTAGGAACTTGAATATTGGAATTGTAGCTACTTATCATAAATAAATAAATAAATATTTTTCAGGGTATTTTGATTTTTACATAGTAATGGAGAAAATGGGAGGTGAAAGTTTGTAGGGTACTTTCGGTTTTTTAAAGGTAGGAACTTGGAAAATTAGAATTCTAGCTCATCATAAGTAAATAATGATATATTTCAAGGTTTTTGGATTTTTACATTTTAAGGAGAGGGGCGGGACGGGAAGTAATGTAAAAATAAATAAAAATAAATAAAAATAAATAAAAATAAATAAAAATAAATAAAAATAAATAAAAATAAATAAAAATAAATAAAAATAAATAAAAATAAATAAAAATAAATAAAAATAAATAAAAATAAATAAAAATAAATAAAAATAAATAAAAATAAATAAAAATAAATAAAAATAAATAAAAATAAATAAAAATAAATAAAAATAAATAAAAATAAATAAAAATAAATAAAAATAAATAAAAATAAATAAAAATAAATAAAAATAAATAAAAATAAATAAAAATAAATAAAAATAAATAAAAATAAATAAAAATAAATAAAAATAAATAAAAATAAATAAAAATAAATAAAAATAAATAAAAATAAATAAAAATAAATAAAAATAAATAAAAATAAATAAAAATAAATAAAAATAAATAAAAATAAATAAAAATAAATAAAAATAAATAAAAATAAATAAAAATAAATAAAAATAAATAAAAATAAATAAAAATAAATAAAAATAAATAAAAATAAATAAAAATAAATAAAAATAAATAAAAATAAATAAAAATAAATAAAAATAAATAAAAATAAATAAAAATAAATAAAAATAAATAAAAATAAATAAAAATAAATAAAAATAAATAAAAATAAATAAAAATAAATAAAAATAAATAAAAATAAATAAAAATAAATAAAAATAAATAAAAATAAATAAAAATAAATAAAAATAAATAAAAATAAATAAAAATAAATAAAAATAAATAAAAATAAATAAAAATAAATAAAAATAAATAAAAATAAATAAAAATAAATAAAAATAAATAAAAATAAATAAAAATAAATAAAAATAAATAAAAATAAATAAAAATAAATAAAAATAAATAAAAATAAATAAAAATAAATAAAAATAAATAAAAATAAATAAAAATAAATAAAAATAAATAAAAATAAATAAAAATAAATAAAAATAAATAAAAATAAATAAAAATAACTAAAAATAAATAAAAATAAATAAAAATAAATAAAAATAAATAAAAATAAATAAAAATAAACAAAAATAAATAAATAAAAATAAATAAAATAAATAGAAATGAATAAAAATGAATAAAAGTAAATAAAAATGAATAAAAATGAATAAAAATGAATAAAAATGAATAAAAATGAATAAAAATGAATAAAAATGAATAAAAATGAATAAAAATGAATAAAAATGAATAAAAATGAATAAAAATGAATAAAAATGAATAAAAATGAATAAAAATGATTAAAAATGAATAAAAATGAATAAAAATGAATAAAAATGAATAAAAATGAATAAAAATGAAAAAATAAATAAAAATGACTAAAAATGAATAAAAATGAATAAAAATGAATAAAAATGAATAAAAATGAATAAAAATGAATAAAAATGAATAAAAATGAATAAAAATGAATAAAAATGAATAAAAATGAATAAAAATGAATGAAAATGAATAAAAATGAATAAAAATGAATAAAAATTAATAAAAATTAATAAAAATTAATAAAAATAAATAAAAATTAATGAAAATGAATAAAAATAAATAAAAATAAATAAAAATAAATAAAAATAAATAAAAATAAATAAAAATAAATAAAAATAAATAAAAATAAATAAAAATAAATAAAAATAAATAAAAATAAATAAAAATAAATAAAAATAAATAAAAATAAATAAAAATAAATAAAAATAAATAAAAATAAATAAAAATAAATAAAAATAAATAAAAATAAATAAAAATAAATAAAAATAAATAAAAATAAATAAAAATAAATAAAAATAAATAAAAATAAATAAAAATAAATAAAAATAACTAAAAATAAATAAAAATAAATAAAAATAAATAAAAATAAATAAAAATAAATAAAAATAAATAAAAATAAATAAAAATAAACAAAAATAAATAAATAAAAATAAATAAAATAAATAGAAATTAATAAAAATGAATAAAAGTGAATAAAAATGAATAAAAATGAATAAAAATGAATAAAAATGAATAGAAATGAATAAAAATGAATAAAAATGAATAAAAATGAATAAAAATGAATAAAAATGAATAAAAATGAATAAAAATGAATAAAAATGAATAAAAATGAATAAAAATGAATAAAAATGAATAAAAATGAATAAAAATGAATAAAAATGAATAAAAATGAATAAAAATGATTAAAAATGAATAAAAATGAATAAAAATGAATAAAAATGAAAAAATAAATAAAAATGACTAAAAATGAATAAAAATGAATAAAAATGAATAAAAATGAATAAAAATGAATAAAAATGAATAAAAATGAATAAAAATGAATAAAAATGAATAAAAATGAATGAAAATGAATAAAAATGAATAAAAATGAATAAAAATGAATAAAAATGAATAAAAATGAATAAAAATGAATAAAATTAATAAAAATTAATAAAAATTAATAAAAATTAATAAAAATTAATAAAAATAAATAAAAATGAATAAAAATGATTAAAAATTATAAAAAATTAATAAAAAACAATTGCCAGGATCGCATGAGGAATGAAAGCTGTTATTCACTTTTAATACTTAAGGTTTGAGTAATTCCAGCGAAGCGGGATCGGGTCAGCTAGTGTTACATAAATCGAACTAGAAATGACGCATCTGACATATTTAATAACTGGTGCCGAAAGTAGCTTCCTAATCATTCTTACATGGGCGAGTAGATTTGTATAATTAAATCTTTACACGTTAAACTAATTTTGGTTAATTGTTTGATTTTTAATTTCCTTATTTTTCATTATAGGTATTTTTAAAAATTATGGTTATCTATAAGAAGTCTACGAGTTACGAACTAATATATTTAATATTTTTGCACCATACTGTATGTACATAAACCCATAGTTAAACAATACATTTCATGGAAAATTAAGATTACACCAGCAAACGTCAAAATGAACAAAATAAATCTCTCAAAACCAAGCGCAAAATGCCCACCCACCGTCCCGCTATTGCTTATCAAGCGAAACCACCTAAATGAGGATACGCCGTTAACAAAAATGTACAATCGCATCTCTTAAAAGTTACCACTCAATGCCCACCCAGCGACGCGCTACTGTACGCATAGCGAAGCCACCAAATCGAGGATACATCGTCAACCCAAACTGAATTACTTCTCTTAACAAGCACATCTAAGCGCACCGCTTATTAACAAAATCAACTACCTGATGCCCGCCCGATCCCGCGCCGCTGAAAGAAGGCCGACGCGTTCTCCAGCTACCAACCCACCCACGGTATCGGTCGACTCTCCGAAATCCGGCAACACCGCTTGCCATAACCGATATTGTGGCCGCACGGAATGGAGGAGAGTCTGAGCTACTCGGGTCAAACTTCCCCTGAATCCCCCACCACCGGGCCTACGTGCCGTTGTTTCTCCCACAGGCAGACAGTTGAACGTCGTGCACCGTTCGAGTAGTACGTGTCGGAGTGTTGCTCTGATTAATTTTCAATTTTGAATCTGAGTCTTGTTGGATTATTATGGTTTTCAAGGTGTTGAAGTAAACATTGATTTCTTTATGTTTACCCACAAATGCTGGGATATACTTCCTACAGGTAGGAAATTTTCTAAAAAAAAGAAAAAAATCGGAGATGTGTAAAAGTTCCAAGTTTTGTCGAAAGGTAAAGTGAGTGAAAAATTGTTCCTGGAGAAATACAGTACCACTACTTTGGATTATATTTTGTGTCAACAATGTGCATTACATCTGGATTATCATCTTCAAGAAGAAATTTTAGTGACTTTTTAGAAAAACTTTTCAGAATCTCAATCGCGGAATTATTGCTACAATAAACAGTTGGTTTACTGAAAACTTATCCTAATCCCAACTTCAGATCAAATATTCATACTTTTAAGAATTTCAAATTAGCCCCTTAAAATTATTTTGTCATGCCTTTTGCCTAAGGCACATCTTATTTCTTATCACTTTTTAATCGAAATTCAAATACTATAAAGTAAAAATTTTACAAATCTGTATTTTTTTGATGTCTGTAAATTAAAACAAATAAATATAAACAAAATAAAAAAAGTGTCGATGAAGCATCTGCTATAAAATTATATTTACTTTTATTGTAAATATAAAAATTATATGGAAACTTAGAATACCTATTTAAAACCAAAATTAATGAATAATTATTAAGTAAGTAAACCAACTTATTTTTATTCCTTTGAACTTTCAAAGACTTTCACAGTTAGTTGCTCAAAGTGTATAGTTTAGTGTATACCAATAAACAGTGAGATGTGACTCCCAAAACAAAAGGATTTAAGTGAAAAAAAAAACTGTGTGAAAAAATCTTCCAGAAATTATTGTTGCAGTTAATAAACAAAAATATTGTTGTGACTAGTGATAAAAACATAGTTTTAAATAACTGTTTAGAACCCCAAAAAACACAAATATGTTGTGATTTTGTGGATAAAAAACAAGAACTGTGCAGTGTTGAAAAATAACTTTTAAAGTAAACAAACTGTGTTTTGGTGTTATTAAACAATTTTAATATCCAGTTTAAATAGTGCTTTCGATAAGATCTTTATTACCTGTTTCGACAAAATTTTGGATTTACTTTACATATCTTCAAGTTTTAATAATTCCTATATTTAAAGATACATGTTATGGATATATATACGCAAATGAAAATGAGGTATGAATAGTTTAGCATATTTATTTAATAATGGAAGAGGCAGACAACATGCAGACTGGCAAACAGATGTGTGAATTAGTAAAAATTTAAGGTTATGTCATAATGAGTTTATACAAATTTAATATTTACATACGTGTCTTATTTAATTGATATTAAATTAAATCGGTTTAAATTCTAAATTATTATAATTAAAAATTGGATAGATACGCCTTTAAATTAAAGATATTAATACCATTACCTAGTAATTTCGGTTTAGATAAAAAATAAATACTTATACCTATTAACGGTTTTCATAAATTCTCTTATCACTTTTCTGAATTTGTGTTTAGATAAAATTAGGTATTATAATTTTGTAGATAGGAGAATTTTTTTTGGTTTGACTGACCTGTTGTATGTCGATTTTTGTTGTTGCAAATAAATGATAAAGTTGAGATTAAATAATACAAAAGTATCATCATCATACTGTCACGTATACTTAAAAACATTGTTATATTTATATCTGAAGTGGCAAAAAACTGGAAAAATCTAAATTTATTTGTTGATTGTTTATCAATTGTAAGTTATTTTATTTAATGTTTGTTTTTGTTTTATTTGTAATGCATATTTTGAAAATTAGCAGCCCAAATTATATTAATAGCTCAAGTTTCAATGTAAATACAAAAAGTTGCATAAAGACTACATAATTTTTAAACATAGATCAAAGACATCAAAATCAACTAGGTACTTACTTAGTGTTTTTTCGAATAATGTTCAAAAAATTAATTTAAATAATACCTGCACAACTCTTGCCTTATGAAAAATATTATAAACTTTTTTTTTAATTAATTTAAATAATACATAACTCTTAGTTGACATAAAATACTTATTATAAAATAATAATTTTCTAAATAAAAATACTAGCAAAATAATTTTTTTAAATTGCTCAAAAACTATTGATTTAACAACAAATACATTAATACAAACCTTATGTAATACAAACCTTGTGCCAAAAAAGTGCTTAGTGAATTTTTTACTGAAACATACGTGTACTTAATAACGTCAATATTCCTGTCCTAAGTCATATAATTTTAGTCATTTTAGACTCATCGGTAATATTTGACGACAACAGCAAATTATTTTAAATAATACCAACATTATACCATTATGAACCCTTAATAGCCATAAGTGATATGTTCCTCATCTGCATAAAAGAGTCGCTATCCAGAATTATATTCTCATTAATATAGAAAAATCTAGCTAGTCAGTTAACTTAATTTCTATTAAATCAGAAAGTAATTCGTAAAGATCTTTTTATGTTATCTTTAGCCAATATAATGTGCAACCAGTTTTAGCTATTCTGTTCATACCTCCATACTTTTCTTCTTTCATAATTAAAGCATCCATAAGCAATTATATGTGGACACAGGGTACAACTTTTTAAATCGTTAGCCCTTGTTTCAAAATAAAAAGTTACTTGAACAATTTTACCCATCAAGAAGCGACATTTGACATAGTCTATATTTTTCAACTGTTTATTCTTTAAGGAAACGTCTTAAGACTTGGATCGTTTTACTAAATGAAAGTCTAGGTAGTTAGCTTCTAAATACTGTTATTAACTCAATATGGCCAAAACTTGACTTAAGGAGTTTCATCTTGTGACCACAAACATTTTCTTTATTGTATAAACTTCCTTTAGAACTATCTGATTCGCCTTTTCTTTTTTAGGGACTGGACAGGACCGGGGTCTGGTGCCCAGCAGCAGTTGTCGGTCGTGACCACGGTGTGGGGAGTGAGCACCACGACGCAGTCGGGCCCCCACGGGGGCGCCTATACGGGCGGCCCGACGCCCAACGCGAATCCTAACTACATTGGAGGACAAGGCACTGCAGGAAAAGTGCAACAAGGAGGCTATCAAGGAGGATACAGGCAAAACGTACCGCCAGGGTAAGTTACAGTCAATAGAAATTATATTAATATTCCTGTTACTTGTAGATTGGTTTAAATAGCGAAAGCACCAGCTTTTGAATGTTTACCAACGAAGTAGTAAAGAGAAGTGCTCTACTAAATTTCTCGACAAGAATATTCCATCCAACTTTTGAAAATTTATTGTCAAGATCTTTAAAGAGAAGAGAACAGAACTGACCCATCATTGTCAACTTGAATTGTAATTCTGAAATATAATTTTGTTCCAATTAAAAGAGAATTGTTACTGTCTGCGATTACATAATATAAAGAATATATTTATAACGAAATATTTATCTATCATGCATCTTAAAAAGATATCGTATAGACATTCTTAGTCTGATGCGATTTTCAAAAGACTGTCAGATATTCAATAAAATTGGTGAACTAGCACGGAGATTAGCTCCATTTTTATTGGAAATAACAACGTGAGGAAATATATTAGAAAATAGGCTAAGAAAGAGTACAACATATATAGCAGACCCTCAATAAGAGTATTAACAAGAGCTCTATTATTGAAGAGTAAAGAGAGCTGAAGAGATGCTAGAACTAACTATGAATATTTACAAATTTCTTGTCCAAATATATTTCAAATGAATATTTATTTGTACATTATATAAGACGATATACATCTTATATCCAATTTTTTTTTAAAGATTATCAGCAATCCTAATATAATATGATGCACGCAATGTTCGGCCACATACACAATTCACCCTTATATACTGATCAAAATAGGGTACAAGAGACATTAGTTTTATTTGTAGCCAATGAAGTAAATAAATATGAGTATATCAACGTGCACAAAATATGAAAATTTCCTGATTATGACAATGTTTTCCATTTTTAATAGTACTCACTTTAAAAGAACATTGTAAAAGCATCGACATTTTGAAATAAGCTTCTATAAATATAAGCTATATTAAAATCTAACTGAAAGGAAGAATCGTAAAATACACAATACTACTTCTCTATGACAAGATATTGAATGTGTGGGTTCTAATCGGAATGTCAATACCTAAACGAATTCATTAGAATGTGCTAAATGATCTAAGTTACAACAGTTATAAGGTGTTAAATAATTTAAAATTAACACTTCTTAAACTTGAACAATAATACATTAATTTTGTAAATAATAAACAAAAATTAATCAAACTGTTTTTTTTATAATAATATTTATACCAATTTGATTATTTCCTGCATAAATTTATTAAATAATTTAACGATAAATATATATAACTGGTGGAAACAAAAATAAAATAGAAAATTTTGTTTATAGCGACACTAGTTCATTCGCCATTTTTTTAAGTTTTTGATCTGGATCCTCCACCATATTTTAAAATACTTTAGTTCGTCCACCATTTTTTGAAATTATGTTAATCCACCATTTTATTAAATCGTATCTCTGTGGAATTATTTGTTTGAGTGAATTTAATTAATTGATTATTAATTTGCTTATCAATATATTGACCTTTAAATTTATTCAATTAAAAACAACTATAAGCAACCTAATTAAATATTTCATTTAAAAACCATAATTTACGATAATATAATTATTCAATAAATTTTAATACTTTAATATTGTTAAAAACAGATTAAGTAATTCAGTTTCTAAGGTACGTTCATAATTAAATGAATATAAAATAACCAAACTTTATATCTACATTAATAATTTATTACTTCTCTAAATGTATGACCAATATTCGAAACATTATTGAAAGTATGTCGCAATTGATTTATAAGAGTCTAGACCACATCCCCACTTTATTTATTTGTAAATCGATTCCTTTTTTTCTTCATTTTAGTTGAGACTCGGACAGATTCATTTTCTGTATCTTTCGTTATATTTTTAATACGTCTAGGTCTATATGAATTCTAGACTACAATAATGAAAGAATAATTTATGGGTTGGAATAATCTAAAAATACTTCAGGGTACCAATATCTTAGTATTATATAATACCAGTATTGATCTTTCAGAATATGTAACTGTTTTTAGTATTGCCAATCTTAAATAATATTCAAAATATCATTTGCGATATTAAACTTTCTCGGAAAATTTTTACATTTTTATCTTTTATAATAGCTTCTATTCTAGACATTTTTGTTTGTTTAAATCTATTCAATAAAGTTTAAAAGTTCTTTTCACTACATTTCAAAAGTCATTTTTCAACACTCTTCGACTAGGCGTGACCATCTCAGTCAAAACACCCAGGTACCTACCGATAATATTGAAAAACCTTCCGATTTGCATACCTTTCACAGAAATATTCCGCCTTTTCTTTACTATTTCTATTTAAACGCTTTCAGCAGCTGGGCATGTTCCAAAATATTGTAAAGTATTTTCAAAATAGTTGTTGGTTTTTACCTGCGAAAAGGTTAAGTAGGTACCATTGAAAAATTGTTGGTTAAGTAGGGTTTAAACGATTTCCTACTTGTAACATCGAGGTGAGGATTTGTCTGTGATTTATTAAACTTTGAAATAAAGTAAATTATTTAATTGTATACTTGGATTTGACGACTATATTGGGGAAATTTTTTGATTCGTATTTTAATATTTTGGGTGGGGGTAAAGTAGTCTCAATTATATAAAAGTTTAGTAAATTAAATTTCATGTACCTACTGTCAAATGGAAAGCAAATGATGTTGTTGAAAACAAGTCGATAAAATATGGGAATCAAAGCTGTACCTTGAGGTATTCCCGTAAATACAAAACTTTAGAACCACTATAAAAAAGTACCGTAAACAAAGCCCTTTTCTGTGCCAAATCTTAACTTTTATGAAATATGGATGTTCAAATATTTTGGATCAAAATTATTTTCTTAGCTCTTGATTCTACGCCAATGGGTTATCGTAATTTATCGAAATAAAGTGTATTAATTAATAATGGTGATTAATAATAAGTACATATTTTTAAGTTACCGTAAGGGAAATTTAGAAAATTATCTATTTATGAAATTCATTTTATCACCCTGTAGAATAAAAACTAAGACGTTTACAGAAAAATTATATTTAGCTTTTCTTAATATTAGTTAAGATCTACAAGTTCCCCAGTTTACGGGACTTAAATCTAAAACGTTCTGTATGAAAATAAAAAAATATACAGGGTGTTTCAGATTTAAACGAACACAGCCTAATGGGAGGTAGAGAATACTTAGTTGAGTTAAAAATACCCCCATAATTAGCCTTTAAGCTCTTTCGTTTCTCAAATATAGGGCGTTTTATGATTTTTTGACAAAACTAAAGTCGGCCATTTTGTTTGAACGGCTAGAGATATTTTGATAAAATTTTGTACAAAAGTTACACTCACTTAGGTTAATCAAAGCCATAATTTAATTTTAAAAAATTCCAGGACCGGGCTCTCTTTTTTTATATTACTCTTCTTAGCTAGAATGTCACCCTGTATATCGGATTTTAATAAATGTAACTGGACATTTAAATAGTACATGGATCAATAAATTAAATAATGTAATATTTAATGGCACCATCATGATTTTCTTACAGTAAATTTTTGTAATGGCGACTACAATACCTATTATAAATCAGTATTTTCAATATTGAAATCAAATATTTTACTCTATATTTTTAAAACTTTACACAAATTAGGTACCATCTTCATATTCATTTTCCAATAAGAAATTGAAGATCTACACAGGACCGGGCTCACTTTATTTGATAAAGTAACAGAACAAACAATTAATTAAAACTGAAGTAGATTTTCAAAATGCTCACCGTTAACGTCAATACACCTCTGCGAACGGTTTAACACTGTTTTTGTCATTTATTTCCAGTTTATTTCTAATGTTACATACATTATTAATGTTGTGCTCGGGTTTTCATTTCTTCATTGTATACCTCTGATTTAAGGTAGCCCCATAAAAAATAATCCAGAGATGTTAGATCTGGAGATGTTGGTGGCCAATTAACGGGACCGCCTCAACCTATCCATCAATTTGAAAAACGTTGATTTAAATGGTCTCTGACCAATATTATAAAATGATGTCCAGCACCGTCGTGTTGAAACCACATTCCTCTAACAAATTTGGCAGGATGTCTCTAAAGAAATTTAAATAAACTTCAGTCGTTAATCTGACTTCAAAAACATGCGGGTCTATTAAATGATTTTTATAAATACCACACCATACATTTATAGAAAATCTATATTGGTAATGTTTTTGTGATAAAGTGTGAGGATTTTCAGTTGCCCAAATATGACCATTCTTAGTGTTATTAATCCCATCACATGTAAATAGGGATTCATAAATAAATTCTCGATATTGTCCCTTCTGTGGGCCAAAATTCATCTACAAAAAGATAAGCGGGGTACGTCGTCTCCGTGTTCAAGTCGCTGTTCTTTTTTTACATGAAATGAATGCAAATTTTTGGTTCGAAATCATCCTTCTGTGTAAGAATTAATAATGAATAAGCAGTACCTAGGTACCAGAAACAAGTGTATGGAAAACTTAAAAAAAAATTGTATCTATTTTATGTACAAAAAGTACAGAGACTTGAACACACATAATATGTTTGATGTGGAATTTATAAAAATCACTTAATACTCGAGAACAGTTATGGAAAAAAATTAATAATGTATGTAACAAAATTAGAAATAAACCGAAAATAATTGACGTTCACGGTGTTCATTTTGAACATATACTTTAGTTTTATTTGTTTATGTTAATTTGTTCTATTACTTTATTAAATAAAGTGAGCCCGGTCCTGTGTAGATGTTCAATTTCGTAATGTAAAATGCTGTAGTTAAAAAGAAATGTGTAGAGTTTTAAAGGTACAGAGTAAAATATTTGATTTTAATATTGTAAATACTGATATTTATAATATTGTAGTCGCCATTATAAGTATTTACTATAAGAAAGTCAAGATGGTGTCATTAAATATTATTACATTATTTCATTTATTGATCCATGTACTATTTAAATGTCCAGTAACATTTATTTCTCAAAAAAGAGTAAGATTAAAGGATAA